GAGAGAGAGAGAGAGAGAGAGAGAGAGAGAGAGAGAGAGAGAGAGAGAGAGATGATTTAAATAAGAGAAAGAAAAGACAGAATTCAAGAGTCTTATCATAAAACGGTTTCAAGTGTCATCATCATTAATGGAATGAAACAATGTCAAATCACGCGTTCTTCCCGCCATCTCGTTATCCCTCTAACTTTACCTACTCCTACTCCTGCATCATCTTGCCCACGAAGCTGCACTCATCTACCTATCTAACAATACATCACACCATGCGCTTATAGTCAGAACAACAAAGAACAATTTTCTCGCTTCTATTTCTAGCTCCTTTCTCCCTTTGCAACTATCGTCATCCTTGCACCCTACATCCTCCACCTCCTTCCTCTCCTCCCTCCTCTTTCACTCTTGTTACTTTTATTCCTATCAACGGTGAATTCAACAATCATGAAATGTCACCCTATTCGTCTCCCCCTGCCAGTTCACGAAGTCGCTTCCCCCTGCCAGTTCGTGAAGCCACTTCTTCTCTTTGCTTGAATACGATTCACTTCATAATCAATGACAAAGACAAAATGCGCTACTCATCTACATCGTCACGTCCACGAAGTTGTCTCCTCCTTTCTTCCATTGCTAATTGCTGCTAATCATCAACAATGACATCTCCGTCGGGATAAAGGTTTGTCGTCTTGTCACAGTTATGTCTAACAACCGTCAAATCATTAGTCTTTCTAAAGTCGCCCCTTCTCACATGGCTTAATAAGCGGCCACACTTAGGACACGGACACCTCAATGCTTCAATCAACGCAAGCACCACCTCATGCAATCTTTTCTCACATTCCTTAATTATGCTTGCGAGCACATTCAATTTCATTTTCACATGCTCCATATCCTTCTTAAACCGTTTTGGCGAATGAGCATCCCTGAACATTGAATTCATTAACTCTTCCTTTGTCTGCTTGTACAAATGTCCAAGCGTGATCACTGTTCCCCTCAACCGACTATCACTTACTGGGAACTTCATCGCATTTTGTACCTCTAAGAGGGCATTCCTGTGTGCCAACTCCGAACCAACATTTTGCAATGACTCTAACATAGCAATCAAGCGCGCCTTTGGAAGGTCTTCCAAAGTTGCAATCAATGGAATCTCAAACACCTTTGAGGCAAAAGAAGAATCAATCGATGGTAAGGCACCTACCAACAATATTTTTCTTATCTCACTTTCGACTTCTTCTTATCGCCCACGCAAATCATCACACTCTTGCAACAGATGTGGGTCAACTCTAGCACTAAGCTTACAAACTTCGTCTAACAAATTGTTTCTAATGGACGATTGAATTAAACGATTAAACTCTTTGTTCATGTCCTCAGCAGCATCCGCCTCCTTCTTCACAACCCCAACACCCGACACAGACGAATCTCTTATCTCTTCACTTCGTTTTGCTTCAATGAAACTTTCAACCACTTACCGTGCATTCAACTCAACTTTCATAAATGCATTCCTCAATGCATTCACTTCCTCCTCCTTCTTCTTCAACA